CGTCTTGCAGTCACCCACAAGCAGGAAATAATTTTTATACTCAGCAAAAAAGCCCCATCTACCCAGCTTGTCTAAACCACAAAAGGTGTATAGAGAAAGAAATGTACTTGTTTGAAAATAAACAACCCCAAATACAGTATTTTTCCCTCCTGAATTCATCATAACTGGGAGAGTGACACTCACTCAGAGGTGCAGAGAAAAGGGAAGGCTGACCACCCTGACCAAACCCAACAGAACTTTTCAGTTTTAGCTACAGATGGCATTTGGTAGGTGTAAATCTCACACACCCAAGGCATATTCAGGGCCCTACAAGCCTGGTATCTAAAATTTAAAAAGGAAGTGGGATGCCTCCAGGACAACAGTATTTTCAGGCTCTCACTACTATTTCTGTTTGCTATTCTTTTCTCCCGTTTTCTTTTCTTCCTCCTCTATTCAATCCCATTTGCAATTAGGACAATAAAGAGAAGGAGGCCACATGACTCAGTTTAATTTTCACACACAATATTTCTAGCAGCAGCTTCTTATTCCTTCTGAAAAGGTATTTTTAGAACTCACTAGGAGAACAACGCTCCAGCTTGGCTTCAATATAAGCACAGCTCCAGTGATTTTTCAAATGGCCTCAAATTTTTCACTTTAATCTTCCCTTATCTTTTAGTTATTTTACTTATTTTACATAAAAATTCAGAAATGCTGTTTCAGTGTAACGTGAGAATACAAATTTAAAGCCTGCCTATGTCTGTACAGACTGCTCTTCCCTCTCCTGAAGCACTGGTGAGCTGAACTGCTGTTGACACAGACATATTAGCATAGTTGAAACTTAGCATATGGCTGCTATGCACAGTGCACTGTTTAGCAGAGGTATAGTACCCCTGAACAAACTAAGTACAGGCTGTATCACAGGATGTTTATTTGCCTTAAAAGCCTTGTATAAATGCTATTCTCATTATTAATTAGAAGGATAACTGTTATTTAAGGGAGTATTGAAGTATTAGGAAATTCAGAATATCTTTTAACAGGTCCCAGTCTTGTTGAGCTGTAGAGGAAACAAGCTCTGTATTAGGAATTTCACCTCAGAAATAATCGCCAATCTTTCTAGTCTTTCTTTTGTATGACCTACCACCTTGTTACTCAAATCTTAACCTCACTGAAATGCCTGCTCACCACAGGTTCAATGAGCTATTTTTCCTACGACTTATCTGCCATGAGGCCTGTACATTTATTATCTCCAGAGATGGGCTCACAAAGTTTTAAAGTTACATGACAGGTTTGCACCATGATCTTTAGCACAGTACCTATGATTTCAAATATACATGAAGAACGCTTTCTCCATGGTTTATTTTTACAGGTAGAGCTATACAATTAATTTGCCATGATGGGACTCAAAATACAGACTCACATTTTAGCTGTTCTGCAGTAATTTATTCCTCAAAGAATGTAAGACATGGTGCAAGTGCAAAACAAGACCTGCACTCTTGATACTCAAAGCCTGAATGTCCTTTAGGATCTTTATGCTCTCAGAGTGCCCTGTTCCATTCACTGACTTTTCCAATACGTGCACAACATGCAGAAAGGCCATGCCCAACACAGGTCAGGGCACCAGGGGGTAGCGAGGAACATCGAATACAAAAGATTAACACCAAGTTTTCTTGCTATCCTAAAGCCTTACAGAAGACAGCTGAGGTTCAGTCTAAACAACATGATGAACCAAGAGAATGAATTCTGAGCGTGAAAAAAAAATCACAACTTTTCTTAAATGCAAGTCTAATTATAAACATGGTAATTGTTATGGTACACATTCTTCACTAAAGATGTCAGTCTCAAAGATACTGTGTAATTAAAGTGAGAAATTATTCCACAATAAAGTGGAAATTATTCCACTCCAGGTACAGGATCACATGCAAAGAAAATTTATGGCAACCTCTGGAAATTTGTTACGTGAAGCCTGGTATACGTACCGGACTCCTCCAGGCTGCCACCAACACACACTCCTGCATGCATAAACCTGTGCTTGTAAATCTAGAAAAAGGTGATAGGGTGACTGTAGGCACAGTATGTCAAGTATCACTAAAAACAGTGCTTTAAAGCTAACACGCTTCTGGCAGGGCTCCCTAGAATACAAAACCAAACCATCATACCAGTAGTCGTAACTCTCATCCCAGTTGTCAAAATGAACCAGAAAACGATTGTCCACCATGTCTGTTACCGTAGCAACACAAATGAAAGTGGGGTTCTTTTTGTCTACAGCTTCAAGCTTCATTCCCACTCGAAATCCCGATGGAATCACTGTCTATGTAGAGAAAGACATTTAATTAAGGATAAATACTATAAAACCAGAAATCTCCCTAGCGTCCACAATCAATACATTCATGTCATTTCTAAATTTCCCACTTAGCCGCCCCAAAAGAATGGCAGCAGCCTAATTAGTTGACAGGAGAGATGCTCAAACAAAGAGATGGACTCATAGTTTACGAAACAAAAAGTCCTGAACATGCTGCTAAAATTGAAAACTGCTAAAGAATATACTGTTTCTGGCCATGTCCAATTAGATGTTTACACAGATTAGCAAATAAAATAATGGATCAGAATTTCAGAGGTAAACTGATACAAAGATGACTAACAAATTTACTGCATTTAGTTTAAGATAAAAATGTTTGCACAGTTTCAAGTCTGCAATCACTGAAGTCTGCTTTAAATTCACTTGCAGCTTTCCACATTACCTGAAACAAGTGAGTACTTACCACATTCTGGTTTTCAAATAGAGATTTAGGAGCAGCTTGAGCCTTGCATGCCTTTAGATACGCGGGCCAGCTAAATTCCTCTTCCTTGTATCCTAAATGAGGGCCACGAAAGAAGGACAAACAATTAAACAGGAATGAGACACAAGGTACATATAAGTGTGTTAATCATAGTTAATGAAAATATTTTCCATCTTATTCTGAGCTTCTTATAATTTCAAAACTGAAAAGCAATGTGCATTGTCAATTAGTATTTTAATTTCAGATAAACTACATAAGGAAAATGTACTTTAATTACTAATTTCTCCCCAATATGAAGTTAAGGAGACTAAATGCAATAAATAGTGCTCCAGGGAGCATTGTTTTGTATCGTTAGGAACTGAAGCATAACACACTGTAGAGCAGCTTACAGAGTTCAAAAGAAAGTTGATGAAATTTTCCTATTTGGCCATTTCATATTACAAAAAGGAATCACATTCTTTTTTTCGGGCTGGTTGAACTTCCTTACCAAAATATCATTTTTTTTTGTTGCTTTTGTTGTTTTTAGCAAAGCACTGTGCTTTCCTGAGCTACAGATCATTAGCTTTTTATGCTGCCTAGGACTGCAATTTAGACTGTTCCTAATCTTCATCTAGGAGGAAGAATAATAGCCATATGAAAAAAGCACGAGGCAGGACCTGAGGAGATTTCAGCTGAGTTTCAATGTTAACTTCAAAACAAGCTGGGGAGCACTCCTTATCAAATTATTATTCTATCCCTGATCCCTGATCTCACAATTCTGGTCCTCAAGGAACAAAACAACTTCAAGGGAAAGCCTGGAAACCAAAATCCATAATTCTACCAGATATCAAAAATCAGTCTCAGTAAGATATCAGTTTCATGTTATAACCTCCCTTCCTTCCAGCAGATTTCTCCAAGCCTCCAAAGCTATAATTCACATGCCACTTTCCCAAGAAAAGCACACCTTGCCATCCTTCTCCCCTCCAACTATCCTTTCTCCGACAGTCTGAGTGACAGAGGAACACTGAACAAACTCAAAGCAACTGTTTGTGAGCAGCTCTGCAGCCTCTTGCTTCTGCTGCAGAACCCACAGAGGCTCTGCAGGTCCCAAACTTTTGCAACTACGCCAATCAAACACCAGAAACTCCCTCTTCACCCTGCTGCATCCTCAGGTTATCACCAGTGCAGTGTCACTAGCATTTAAACTTCCCAGGTGGTATCAAAATAGTTGCTTACATTACCCATGTCTCAGACTTCTGTATGCAAAATATACCCTTGTATCCATGTCATATTTGTACTGTAAACTATTTCCTATATGGACTTTCTCTATTTTTATTCTATGCATTCATGCAACACTGAAAAAAAATCTGAAATTATGTTCTCTCCTAGATTCTTCAGGAACAAAAACAGTAATTCATAATATAATAAACTACATCAAATAATACACATCAAATCACTTATACTTCCACTCATTAAAGCAGTGCTAACCATTTCAAGCATATAGTCTTCTTCCCTATTCTCTCCTTAAATATTAGCTATAGGGATATCTATTTTAGTTCCTGTCTTTCAGTTCAGTAAAATGAGATCAAAAATACTACCAATTGTGCTGAGTGATTTCCTTAACTACTGAATTATGTTGCCTCCTGAATATTTGAAGTGCTATTCAAATATGCCACTGACAACACTTATGTTTAACTTTCTGAGAATCTTATGTTTTCTTAGACACCATAAAGTAAAGCACCCTTTACTCTTTCTACATTTGCTTTTCTCAGTTTTCATTCTAAATATTAGCCAATACAAATTACTCCCCAAGTCATGAGAAATAGACTTTTCTTGGCCCTCCAGTGCCTCTTCTCTTGATACACGGTTGCTGTAGCCCAGCCGAGTCTGTTCTTAGGGAGCGTGCCATTGCTGCTGTCCTTGCCCTGGGCCGTTAGACACCACTGACCATCCCCATGGGCGACCCATCTTCAGAGCGGCAGCACGGCGGGCGGCAGCGCCCGACTCTCGGCTCCTTCCCGCGGCGCGGGCCCCGGTGCCATGGGACGGCAAGGGCGCTGCGAGGCCTGCGGGACTGTGCGAGGCCTGCGGGGCCCCAGGAACAGCCGCCCCTTCCGCTGCCATCAACGAGGATGCAGCAGCAAACACTGCCAACAATATTCTTCGAGGCCTGCGGGACTGTGCGAGCCCTGCGGGGCCCTGGGAACAGCCGCCCCTTCCGCTGCCATCAACGAGGATGCAGCAGCAAACACTGCCAACAATATTCTTCTCTCACTTCCCTTCTCCTCCCCCGCCAGCCCCCAAGATAAACCAGTGGGTTTTAGAGGACCTTTCACCACTTGGGTAAGAGTGGGTTGTACCTTCCCTCAGAATCTCCATACCTAAGCAAATGAAATTTACTAGGCACACATTCAGAAAGTTTCCCCCTTTCAGAAAAGAGGGAGTCTATTACTGTGCCCCAAAGCCCCTCTGCAGGGTATCCTGCCCACGGCCTCTCCTGTAACACCAGGACCCCAAGCGTGCACAGGCAGCCACGGCAGCACATACAGAAAGCAACCGCGTCCCAAGTGGGTCCCTGATCACAGGCTGAACGGCGCCAGTTTGAGCTGTGGCTGGAACACAAACATCATGCAAACTCATGCAAACATGTTCCAGTTGTAACTGGAATGGCTTTCAGTTCCCACATTGTTTGCATCGGGTCCTATAGGGCAAGTAGGATCAAAATGTAATACCACAGAAAAACATAAACTGTAAGTCCATCTATATGTTGATCCACTAGAGATAAAAAAAAAAATTCTGTGGATATAAAAATGGATATGGACATTTTTTCCTCAAAACCCCATACAACCCCCCTCTCCTCCCTGCCAAATCAAACCCCAACAACCTGTGACTGACTTCTCCCACTGCTCAGAATAACTAACTCTGAAAATATCAGTTAAATCTAAGCAGTGAAAGACCTACTGTTGGTAAACTGGAAGGAGTATCTTTAACTGGTGAGAGCACAATTCCCTCTAGGCTGCTTAGAACGTAGGAGTCTACATTCCTGACTCACCTCTCCTCCACAAAAGCTAAGGCTTCCCTGGGAAAGCCCCATGCGTTTCCCCAAGTGGGTTTCTGCAGTCCCAGCAGGCTTGGGCAGGGATGGAGCAGGTTAATGCTGAGGGGAAGGAGCCAGGCTATGTGGAGAGCACTTGGTTGCATTTGGAGAAAACTACCAAGGAGCGATCTTGCTGTCTGCAAGGGCTCAAATGTCCTGAGAGTCATGGGGTTGCACAGCTGTGCACCGATCGCTGGTGATCACCTTTATATATCCTGGTAACTTTGCTCCATCAACACCTCTGATAGACCCGTGACTTCCCTAAGAAAAGATCTATGCACTGATCCAGGGTGGAGAAAAAATAAACTGAAGAGCAGTTATCCTGCCAATTTAAAACCAGACTACAAGAAAATTTTCATAAAAGTGACTTGGAGGAAGATTTTAACTTTCTATCAGCAGCAGTAATTTATGGTTAACAAAATACTAAGCTTTTTGAAACAGTCATTTAAGACAGAAAAGATGCCAAACTTGCACCACAGGTACCAAACGTCCTGAGCATGCCACAACATCAATAATTCTATATAAACTGGGGACTACTCATTTACCATATACAAGCTACTACTACTTCAGGGAAGGCAACCTGCTGAGAAATTCTGATTTACGTTCAAGAAATTACTACTTCTACACAAGGAGCTACTCAGAAGTATGTTCCAATAAAGTGTCACATACTGCAGCAGTGGCCCAAAGCACTCTAGCCCTGCAGCCAGTGCGGAGTGCCCAGGAGAGCAGCAAGTGCTCCCTTGTATTCCCACAAGGCTCAGCTGCAAAAACACCAACCTCCCCCCAGCTCACAGACCCACTAATTCTGCGAGGGGCTTTCCCCTCATTTTCCACTATCAAGCATTTATATCCAGTTTTATAATTGTCCATAAATCAGCTTCTGATTCTCTGTACATTTGTTTTTTGCAGCCATATAAGATCGTATTTTCTTACTCTTATTGTATAAGTCAAAATACCACATTCATTTATTTCTCACTCTCCTCTCCGATTTGACCCCTTCATCCCTCTGTACCACCTTCCCAGCCAAAAAGGCTGCCCATTTATCCTTTCTGAAATGGCAGTTTCACACAAATGCTTTCCGTCTATCTGCCAAAATAAAATAAGTCATCTGGTCTGAGATAGAATAATTAAGCAAGTGAATTACGTGTATTTCAACGCTTATATCACTTACATAAATTATGAACTGACTACAATTTCAGGCTTGTAATCTTACCCTTTATTATCCCTTATCTGTTAGTTCCTCTTTTTGTCTCTATTCCAAGCTTACTTTTTGTGGCAAGAGCTCAGTTCTTATTAGTCAGTTGGTTACTACATGTTAATATTGGTTAACATGTAATAATGAAAATCCTAAAACCTTCCACTAAGGGGATTCCCAGCTCCCTGTGAGACCTCAGTGTGAGCTAACATTTCACCAGTATATTACTGCTTTATTGCAAAGAAGGATTTGCAGGAGGAGGTCTAGGTTTGTTTTTTAACTTTTCTTTCATAATGCCTTATGAATGATTATTCTGGTTAATCTGTTGTTTTCTGTTCTGTGAATTTCTGCTGAATAGAAAAGGAAGGATTTCAACTTCCAGATTTTAGCAAGACTTAGGAATATAACATAGGATGTTCTGGTGCTTTGATTCAATTGAGGAAAAAAAGGTTTCTTCCGAAAAAAAAAAAATCACAGCATTACATACAGTCTCCATTTCAGAGCTATGAAAAAACAAGCACATCTCAGACTAAACTGTACCTTTAGGTGGATGAAGCTTGTGACCTGTTTTCTCACACCATCCAACAGGATGAATATCTGAAGAATCAGCATTTACCCAGAAATCATAACAATCTGGGTATCCATCAAAATGGAGTCGTATTCTGTAGCCACAAACCTAAAAGCAAGAATGTACAAAATACAAAAAAAGTTTTCAGATGTTCTCCCTGCACGTAACAGTTTCTGTTAGGTATTACATATATTAACAGTGTGCTTTCATTCTGCCAGCCTTTCACTTTTGCTCCTGCGACACTGAATGAATAAATTCACGTGATAAAAAGGAAAGGATAATATGTTAAGAAACTTTTAATCTGCGTGCCTCCTCTTCTGGTGAAAAGCATAAATAAGAGTTGGATATTGTCATTAGTGTTCAAAACTTGAGAACTGTTTAACCTTAGAATAAAACAGAAATCCTAGGGAAGAGCATGGATAGATCAGATACAATCCAAGAGAAGGCAGAGATGATGAGACTTTTAAGCTATACTGATTAATCAATATGCAAGAGAGCATGCTGGAACTCCAAGACAGACTGTGTTCAGCAAGCTCTCCAGAGAGATAATGTTATTTAAGATTAAATGCTAGTGGAGAATGGAGATAACTCCCAAAACTTAATTTTTCCATGAAATAGCAAGTTAAATATCAAAAGGAGAAGAAAAACAAAAGATATAATCCCTACTATACAGAAGTTCTCCACACTCTTCCCGAGCAGTAAATGCCATTTTTCAGCAGCGTAAACCTCTTGACATCAAAAGCTCACCATATTTCATATTTAACTGATACTCTGACATAACTCAGTTTCAGTTTATCACCTCAGAATTAGGTGGAGTTCAGGCCATCCTACCATAAAACATGAGATGTCACTTAGTGCCAAGCATAAAATACACAGAAAATACTACATATTTTCCACAAAGAAAAAAAAAACCAAAGAAATCCATAGAGAGGGAATGGAAAGATTAAGAAGTGGGAAGGTAAAAACAGACTATTAAAACACAAGTTGTGAAATTACAGCTGTTTAGAATAAAAACGATATAGAGCTGAGTATCTACCTGTTCCTCTTTTCCCATTTAATTTATAATATAAAACCAACAAACCCAGAAAAGTATCCTGAGTAAATCCAAGAAAAATTAATGTGAGGTATGTTTAAAAGACATACAAATTGCAACTGAGTTCTCAATCATTAAAAGCAAAGAAACTGCTCATGAAGAAATTACTTCGTAACTGTAGCACAAAGATAAACTGAGAGATTTCCTTGCATACTAACTTGTAGAACTTGCTAATACAGACCATTTCTGAGGCAATGCATCTGAAAAAATTGCAACACATTAGCAACATAATAATAGGTATTTGTGTTAATAAACGCAACACTTCTAAATATTATAACGAGACTAGATAAACTATTGGTTGTCATAGTTACATTCTTTCTACTTACTCTTGTTTTAAACGTAAATCTAGTCAAAACTACAGGATTGCAGAAAAACACATATCATCGAAGCCGTGCAATCCTGTTTTCTGTAGCTGCCTACATTAAATATATGTGAACAGTTACTGCTGTATGGTGCTAGACTTAATATTCGAATGTTTCTGAGGCAGGTATCTTCCGAGGGGGAATTTCTCTCTGCCTGCTAGGGACCACGCACCACCTCCAACTGCTGTTCCACTTAATTTCTTGTGCCATCTGACACCACATCTGCTCTCAGCTTCGCACGCTGGGACTCACCTCAGCCACTGTGAGGATACAGTATATTGACTGGTGTTCTGGATCCACACCTTCCAGTTTCATTCCTACTTTGAATCCATTTTTGTTGTATGGGAAAGACTGGTACTGGAATGGAAAAGAACAGTTTCAATACTATGGAAGTATACACAGGACAGACAAACTGCTTCTATAATGTAAACAACAATAACTATTGACTACTAATATTTTTGAAAGAACTAAAAATTGTGAAATAAATAACTTTTAAAAACAGTAAAAGAGAACTTTACGACTGTTTGAAAAACAGGTTGATTTGCCCTGAACCTTTTTCACTGTCAGTAAAAATAATTTTAGCAATTTTTAACAATGTAATTTTTTTTCAGTCTGTGCAGCAGCACCATAATGCCTTCTTAGTAGTCATCATTACTATAATGATCAGAAGAAAAGCTGCATTTTGCATTTACACTTCTACTTCACAGGCCATCAGAGATAAACTGCAAAGCAGAACAACAAAAGATTATTTGTATATAAAGATGACCTCTTTAACACCATTTTTTCTTTTACATGTTATGTATATGTCCATAGGTAAACATTTTCTCCAGAAATATTTTTGCATCACTGGAACATTATTACCTTTGTGTCACACTACACTGAACCAGTAACAATAACTTTCTAAGAATAATAAAAGTGAAGAAGTGAGAACAGGACGTTTTCAAACAGAAGGCATCAGCTACCCATATATCACGTTTCCTGTCTTCAAGAGAGAAAATGATTAGAAAAATAATTCAATGAAGCTAAAGAGGATTCTTGGGCACTAATAAATTCACAGCACAATTAGACAGTTTTTTTACATCTCAAACAGTTATAAGCAAAACATGGGAGAAGCACTATATATGTTTCTTCTACCCTTATATCCCCCTTATGTTCCAGTCTTTGGATGGTGAGATATACACTGCTGGTCTAACCATCTTGGGTATTTATAAACAGAAATAACCATTTTTTATACTTCTGCTGCCAGTGGCCCCAATAATTTAGTCATATTTTACGCCTAAATTTAGACAGAAAGCTTTAACAGGTTTTACATAAAAAGACTATAAGCATTAGTTCATAAAATATAAACTGAGATCATAATTATAGTTACAACAATATACAACCCACTCCAAAATTCGAGAAAAAAATAAATATAAGGAAACTTGTGCCTTAATACCCCAAATTCTGCCTCAAAACAAATACAGAGAAACCCCAAGAAAGAATGAGTTTTACTAAATGTGTGCTATCTAAAAGTTAAGACATGCTATCCAGTCGCCTGCACTACCTCCATAGTCAATGGAAAAAAAAAGGTCCCAAGAGAGGGCTCACCCTTTTCAAAGGAAGGGAGCTCTCGCTTTGGTGGCTTCAGCTGCAATTCATCTAACAGCAAAATAAACCCAAGGGGAAAAAAATGCAGGGCATGGCACATAGGCAGGAATATGCAGACAAGAGAAAGGGAAATGGAAAACCAGAACAGCTGAAACCAGCTTAAAATGGCCTGCTCTTATATGTGTACCCATACCTCTAGGATCCTACCCCAGCACAGGCTGGACCTATGATGGAACTTCAGACAGGATAGGAACACTTCTTAAATCTGTATTCCAGACAGAGACACTGCTTAGTAGGATTTTTGCCTTGTTAAATTTTCAGCCAGTATATATATAGCAGACACATTATAGTAAATAATGCTTTTCTCTCTCACTTCCTTTTCTTTTTTTTTTTTTTTTGCAGGAGGATTCTGGACTTTGCAGTCTTAGTGCTTTACTTTGTTTTCAATTAGTTTTGTATCTCAGTAATGTCTAGAAGCACCAGTTAGAGGCCAGCATCACACATAGATGTATGTTGAAAAACTAAACCCTGCATTAAAGTCTTAATAGCTTAGTATAAAGCAAATAAAAAAAATGGACGCGAGAAACAGACTCCATGTAAGGACAGATTTATCCAAAACTACTGCAAAACCTGTTAACAATACATAGCAGACGGAGCAGCTGGGACATTCTCATGTTTTGCCAGGTTTTGCAAGAGAGGATGACAACATGGAAGCTTTGTGCATTTGCATTTATAACTCTCTTCCAAGCAAGAGAAAGAGCAAAAGAGAATGTGCTAAAATGGCAAATGGCAAAGATGGCCACAGCAGAAAAAGGACAAGTGAGAGCTGATGACCTGATATCCAGTCAGAGACAGGTAAAATGGGAGCAAGCCACATTAGGATCTGATGTAGCAAAGCAAAAAGTAACATCAACAAAAGCTGCAAAATGACAGGAAACATAATCAAAGCTACAAGCCAAAAGCTGACCTCTGTATCACCTTTCTAAACATATTTAAAGACAAAATGATGGCATGTGAACTGAGGGTATGTATGTCCTGGGTCGCGATGATGTCTGGCTGCAGAGATTAGAAGGAAAGGCTACAACTTGTAAAAGCAGCTGCTTTCTGTAGTATCAATTTGCAGTGTTCATCTGCAGCCACAGAAGTCGTTAAAAAGCTAAGAAATAAAACTTATTTCATACATATTCTTCATATCTTGATGGTAATATTATTTTAATCAGATGGGCTTTCCTCAAGAGAAGGAAAATCTCCTAAATTATTTTTTAAATTAATTTCCCTAGAAATCCCATTATGTCACACGGTTGACTGAAGTCAGCTTCTGGGGAAACCGTACCTCTTTGAAAAGCTTGGTTGGTACCGCAATAGCCTTTTCTTCCTCCAAGTAGGATGCCCAGCACCAGGCTTGCTTCCCTTTAGAGGGCACAGCTGTAAAGATGGATACAGTATCAAATGAATTCTCTAGCTGGTCATTTCTCCAGCAATCAAAATAAAAATTTTAATGTTTATAACATACCTATCTCAAACCTATATTTTATTAAATGCATTCTTAGTATTTCTCAGGATTTATTTCAGAAAAACAATCAGTTTGTATACGATAGTTTCTATCAGTTCATACTTCGCCTACTAACAAAAAAGTTTCTTTTATGTGACTAGAACAACATATGAGACTCTAAGGGCCCTCTGCCCCTTTTCTGCTTTGAAAAAAAAATCCATTAAGATCTTACATGTGTGATTTGGAAAGAGGTGTAAAAATAGAACTGAACAAATCACATGAAGTAATTCAATGTTTTAAGAAGTTTCTTCAGAGAAAGAAAGAAAAAGAATTCCAATTCAGGAAAATGTTTTCACTAAGATGGCAGCTCAGATGGGTTTAGGAGATTCTTTAACCACAGTTGCAATGCTCTGTTCTTTGACAGGGTTCAGAATGCTCCTAACCAAACCAAGCATTTCATACTTTGTTGTTTTTGGATGGAAAGGTAGAGATTTAACAGCGATTTCTCCAAACCTCCAAACTGACACCAATGCTTTCTTTTTCCATTATGTCAGTATTGTAACACAGATTACACACTTGTTTGTGAAACATAAAACTCTACAGTGCCTCTTAAGGAGCCACTAGTGAGTAATAGTTTCTACACCTTGCAAATAAGGGACTAGCACTAGTGAAAGCCCGTACAGGCTTCTTGTACCTGATTAGCTTTCCTACAGCTCAACTCTGCTTTGCTGATGTTCACATAAAATTTCTCCTCTGTACACATTCTCACAAGAGACATAAACCACTTAGGCACCAGTGCAGCAGTCTGGCTATTGAAGAGCTTCTGACCTAAACATGCACTGTATTGACAGAGGTGCCAGGCCCTCCTGAAAGAAGCCTGTAATTTAACCAAAAGATAGTAAATCTAAAAAATCACCAGGGCTGTTTAGCACTATTAAAACATTAATTTTGTTTGTGATTTACCCAGCTTTGAGCTATACCATTTAAAGGATTATTGCTCAGCACAATAATATGCACTGATATGCTTAATTCTGAATATAAATCAATCTTTCGCATCAAATCTGTTCTGCTGAAGTGACACTTTTCCAAATAAATGAAAGAAATAGAAATCTGCACGGATATTCTGCCCATGGACAGCTGCAATTCCTAGCACTTCCCTGTTTGGATCACACACACTTCACACGGTCTCAGCTCCGGAAACAACCTAGCAAGGACACCTAAATTTCGGGAGTAATTCTGTGCCAGGTGGGGCAGCTCCCACACCCTGTGAAGCCCTGCACCCTCGGGCGGGATTTCGGCTGCCTGTCAGGCAGCAGATCTGCGCTGCCCAGGGGCCAAGCCGCTGCCAGTGCAGGAGGGCAGCAGAAACAGCTCCCAGGCTGCCCGAGGAAATGACCTCAGAGGGCCATCGGCAGGTTATTCTTGGTGTAGCACTGAGGAGTAATAGCTGCTGATTCTCTGAATCTTCCTAAAAGAACCTATTATACAAATGTCTTGAAAAACAGCACTGACTTAAAATATGTTTTATTAAGCTGCTTCATACAGCGTATTTCCCTTTGGACTGATTATGGTAATTATCCCTAAACAGTTCCATAAAAGTAGCTGTTTCCTGGACACACTGTAGATACAAAATTCATCCCTAAGGAAAAATGTAAACTTTCATTTCTGCTTAATACATGTCTTTCAAAAGCTAACTTGATGGGTCTGACTCTCTTTAATATCAAGACTCTTTGGGGGGATAAAAAAGCCTAAAATGTACACCCATTACATTTGCTTTTACCATAAGCTTCTCTGCACTGCCAGAGGCATATATATTGGCCTTTTTTTTTTTTTTGTAAAAGCAATCATTCTCCAAGTGATTTTTTCTCAAAAGTTTTTACTTGGCTTTCTCAGTTGTTCAATTCACTAATAATTGCACTAAATAGTACCAGTAAAATATTTTTACAGAATTGACTAAAATGTGATAAATAGAGGATACAAATTCAGTGAAACAACACTGGTGATTCACAGCAAAAGATGGATAGCCACACATATAAATAAGCAATAGTTGAGATTTTGTTTCAGAACAACTTACTTTGCTTCAAAACTGTTATTTCCCCTTTTCTTTTTCTTCTGGCTCGCTGTGAGACTCTCAAGATCCTTCCGTCTTGTTTGTCCTCCTAAATTGAAAGGGAAGTACCAAAATCAACTTAAATCAGAAGTCCAAATACAGCTAAAATGGAGATGCCCAAGGTTTAACTTTGCCTTCATTTACATGGCTACTGACAAAGCCCTCCAATATCTCCAATAAATCTGTAGGTGTCCAATGGTGAATACAGGTATTGGTCAGTAGGAAATGATTCCCAACACGGTGAAAATGACAAACAAGGATTCTCAGCGCCTGGCACTCGACCAGCTAAGTCTTGTCTGAGGAGGAGCATTCGAGCCCCGAAGTCTTCAGCAGGCCTGTGTGAGCTGGAGGTAGCCAGCAGCTTCATGCTTCCAAAATTATTTAAAAAGAAACCTCTGGCAGTTTTAGTCTGTTTTTTTTTGCAATGCACAACTGCTTTGCTAAACAAAAGAGCCACTGATTCTTCTTACCTATCTCATTTGTTGTTCATTAACAGTTTTGCTAGTACTACTGAATTGAAGTACTCATTTGGGAGAGCGGAAGCGTAAAGGCCAAAAGACCTGGTAATATGGATAACAATAAATTCCCTTTTAATAGTTTTGAGTGTCTTCTGCCTGGGACAACTCTCTTAGGTGCAGTGCCTTCCCCTTCCTCCTGTGCTTCTCCCAGCAGCAATGATGCCTTCAGAAAAAATGTATGTTTTTCGGATGCTATCAGCGAGGTTCACCTATTGTTCACTACAGGAGGAAGACTGAGCAAAATCAGTTGTTGTTAACACCTGGATATTTTCTTATGTTTTGTTTGATTTGCTTATGTTTTGATATCTCTGTAATTACCCATGGCAAATGTGGTAAACACTGCTTGCTGGAACACCAGAAAGCAATTTAGTTATACCTCCTCCTAAACCACAGAAGCTTCTTTTAACTTAAAGGATGAAAACCAACGGAGATCTTTGGCTGTTTTCTTTAAAGCAATTTAAATTAAGAAAATCAGATTTATGCTCTCTTTAACTTAAGTTTATCTTTTCAAAGACAAAATTATCATCTTTTCAAATGAATTATTATCCTATTATCATTTATTAATGAGCAGCCTGACAAAGAACCAATTGTAAGTAAATACGTATTCTTATATTTCTGTGTTCAGTTCATAACAAGTCTAGGTTAGTATCATCTTTCCAATTACATTCCTTTTGTTCTTTTTTAAAAAAATAGAGAAGAGGCTTGAAGCAGCTGAGTTATTTTCAGTAATTATTATTTAGTAAAAAGGGATAATTAAACCAGCAAGTGCATCGACTGTTTTTTATGGCTCTGTTAAATACAGTTACTTCACGGATTTATAGTGTGATGCGTGAATGCCACCAACAGGGCAACAGAAGGCAAAACTCCGACCAAACATATCTGCAGGAATGGGTTTATGATGCATACTAACAGTTTCATCAGGCTTCTCCTTCTTCTCCCAATTATCCTTGCACTCTTCTTTGAAAGGTAGTTTTGTTTTTCTCTTCCTAATGCCTTTGGAATCATCTTCACCATTGCATTCCACGTCGGGCTTTTCCTCCTTTGGTTGTCTACTACAAGAATAACACAATGACATAAAGCCAGTATCATTTCACTTCTTAACTCCACAAACAAGTAAAAACCGAGTAAATCTGAAGGTCAAGTGTCTGGAGGTCCCAGGGTATCATTCAAAATACAGTCTTAGAAATACTACTGAAAGTGACATCTGTCAAAAAAATTAGTCTGGAAGCCATACAATAGCAACTGCACAAGGAAAGCTGTCAACTTCTACTGAACAAGTTCTGCATGTTTTAAACCATGTGTCTTTCGCGTGTACCATCAAACTGTGGGGAGAAGCAAACTGAGAAACTGCAAGGCAGTTTAAAGAAAAGAAAGAAGAGGCAGTTATTAAAACTGATAAATCCAATTGGAGTAAGCTGGTATGTAACTGTAAATTGCTAAACAAGCAACCACAACAGACAGCTTCAAAACAATTAAGTAAAAAAAAAGGGCAAATACACAAAGCCGTAGTTGTTAAAAACTGCCATAACGCAGTATACAACACAGAATGTGCATGCTAACACAGATCTTCATTTGTGTTGAGATGTACTGCACTAGCTGAAAGGAAAGGAACTGAGAAACTAGAGCACGTTCATGTTTCCACTCACTGTCATCTCTGATACAGCTTTTACACTTAATTATAATTAACTTACCACACCAACCATCTCATTACTGATTATCTTAATTCCAATGATTATGAAACAGGGTGGGAGTCTGACACTGATTCATGCATCCCATAGACTAAGTGTTTCACTGCTTGCATTTGACAGCAGAACACAGTGCTGGCTGTGCAAAACAGACCGCCCTCAACGTCAGCATCAGACAGAAAAAAAAACCCACAAAGGTTTCATATTCTGAAATACATTCACTCCAAAAACAGCGAAAGAACATTATAAACTCAGGAAAATGTGGCTGCTTAATATCTCCCTTTGCCCCACCATTACTGTTTTATCCCACCACTTTTATCTCATGCTGCATTTATGCCAAGTTCTTTGTGTCTATGCTTTATAATTGCACCTACTTGATTTTTACTTGCTGGGCACAATTCTGGCTGCAAAATTTCCCTTCAGGAACAAATTCTTCTATGGTACCATAGCGATAACAGTTTTCACAGAAAACAAGTCCATCCACTTTTGCAGCTTCCTTCAACTTTGTGGGGATCCCTGTCTTTTCTGAAAAGGCTGAACAATGAAAAAGGTAACTTCACTTAGGAAAAGGTGACACATTTCCAACCATCCCTAGCAGGCCTTGCCAAACAACCAGAAAGCTGAACTCATGCCATTCTTGTATGAATGAAGATTGAGAATTAGTGTCTATAAGGGGTCAGTTCTCCACAAATAAGTCACATTCATATTTCAGTACTGCAGAAAAGTATCTATTGATTTCATGCTTCTGTCATCACGGGAACAGAGAGGACTTTAACAGCTCATCATGAAAGGAAGGAATTTTGTCAAAGTCATGGACTCCAACACCTCACGTCCTGCTGACATGCTTGATACTCGACCTATATTAGGGTCATTAGGGGAAAAAAGTTTTGCAGATCTTGTCTTTTAATAGGTGAACTTATTTCTGGAAGTAAATCCTTGATAACATTGTATTTTTTACTTCAGTAGCTCACATTCAATGCAACTGAAGTCTAATATAAAAAAAATCCATTAATTGATAGCAAATCGTTTTCCAAATACTAGATTAAGTTACTCACTCATCCCAACCTATGATTCCCCACAAGGAGTGGAAAGAATTCTTCTTCTTTCCCTCAGAGGGAAGTAAGAAGCACCATAAAGTCCTCTAGACTTCTGTAGACTTTTCAATTCAATTTCATTCCCCCCCAGAAAGGTAAATGTCACGTCACAAACTATTTCTTTTGCTTGAACGCTGATCTGTCCTTCAAAATGGAGTCAAATAAACTTTTCTGTTTGCAGAATATTTCCATTAGGAGAAACCATCGTTCGTGTGTTACATTTTACAGTCCAGTGCCATGAGTGGTTCAAAATAACTATTTCTTCCCACCACTGAAATTTCCAGCAATATTTATATCTTTGGGAAGCCATGAATTTATCAAGGGCAGCGTAAGACATTAATGTAATTAGTAATATAAAAGATACTAAAATACCTTAACTCAATAGTGTATTTTGGGGGGAGGGGTTAGCCACATTCAGGGGATGCATATTCTACTGTTTCATTGCTCACATTCTTGTCTCAGATTTGGATCTTGCATCTTGGAAAAAGTGACCTAGAGACCTACAGAACAGCGAGTCTAAAGTCTTAGACCTCACAGATGAGTTCATACTACCTTCCCCTTGGCAGAAACTTTTTATTCATTCATAAAAATAACATGAAAATTAAGGCTCAGTGGTGGGGCACTAGCAAACAAAAATTTCAATTGACTTTGCTTTTTTGTTTAAAGTTACTTATAGTTACTAAACTGAAAATCTGAGAGCCTGATGTTCAAAAAAGCTTTAGAATGTCAGTTTAAAATTAAGATTGGTAGCTACTAGGTAGCTGTCCACAGTCAAAGTAACAGGTGTTCTATTCTCTTGCATGCTACTCCATCATTGCTGGAAACACTGTATCAAAAATATTTTTAAGAATTTATCACCACATAAACCAACTTTCCCTGAACAAAAGAGATCTTTTGTCACGTCAGTATTATAAATCCTGGGAACACAGCATCTCATGTAGCATGTTGCTTTGTAGACAGATGCTACAGAACTATTTGAACTTTACCGTTTGAGATAAATGCATGCGGCCATTACATGCTAATAAAAAAAAAGCTATAAAAAAAGCACAGTTGCATGAGCAAGGAAACGGCACAGACCTACATTGACACTGATGACAGCAGTTGAGAAGCAAACTATTGTTTGCTTTCAAATAATATTTCTCAGAATATTTCAGATAGTATTTTATGTGAAGGCTGTCTTCAATCCACAGTGCTTTGGGCATACATTAACTGTAGGTAGTTAGCAAAGTCTGTAAGCAGTCTGAAGAACTAGCTCAACAAAAACAATGTTTAAAAAAATAGAAAAAATTTAGAGTAAAAAAATGCCTACTTTTCAAAACAAATAAAACATAACAGGAAAATAAACTTGGAAAAAAATAGTCTTAGAAAAAAATGACTATAACTTCAGACATTTAACAGTGGAAATAACATTGTAAGTATATTCCGTTTTAAACTTAAAACACATTCTGATACTTACTCACATCCTAAAAAACAGGTAACATCACTGTGTGTATTAAACAAGTAAGTTTTTAAAATATGGGGAGCAATCTTTAAGATAAATTGATATATTAAACAAAGAGCAGTTTACCACAGAAAATGCCAGGACTCCTAACTGACCTTCTTGAGCAGTTGGCACCATCCAAGTTGTCGTAGCAGTTGCCTTCTTCACACTTTCTATCTCAGTTTCATCTGTAATCACTTCTAGGGCTCCAAATTCATTCACTCTAAACTGATAAAACAAAACAAATGGCATGAAGTACATAAAATTCTCGGTGCTTTCTTAAGCTCTCTTCTTCCGTAAACCTATGTAGTTTTTACATGGTATCTTCACTGTATTATCCAATTGTTTAGTGCTTCTGCTCATCTCCAAGGAATAAGAAATATCTCTTGTTTCTGTAAAGCAAAATGCAAGCTCATTTTGTCATCTAAAAATACTGTTTTTAATAGATATTGACATAGACGCATACACACACGCACGCACACACAGATCAATACCCACCTTTAACACAAGAATAAAAAAAATCAATAACAAATTTCTGGGAAAATCAACTAACAGTATGCTTTTCATTGCCAGCAGAATAACCCACTCCCTGAGTATTTTTGTCCAAGAAAAGGGAACTGAAAGGCAAATACAAGTGTTTCACACAATACAGAAATTTCAGCGTCCTCCAAAAGCACAGTATTCCTCTGCTGGAAAGTGCTCATAAACAAACATCTCGAGGCAGTTTATGAACTGCTTAATTACATGCTGAACGTGGTATTACTGTCAGCCAGAAGCAAGGCTCAACAATATCCCACATGCTGTGCTTACACAGGATCACTGTGAGTTATACCCAGCCTGCTGCCAGCAGCACAATCTTCCAAATGCTGTAATAATTACAGTGCTACCAGATGAAAATAAACTTCAGCTTCACAGTCACTACTTTTATAGGCCCAGCTGGTTAGATGGGTTGAAGTAAAGGCAGTATTTTGTCCACGACACTCCACTTACTTCAAAGTAAATCTATCTTAGAGCTTTATCACAGAGGACAGTTCTCTGGTAGCGAGGCGCTATGACCAAAAGAAATCAACAGGAAAAATGATGTCAAAGAGTCTTTCAAAGCTTCTCTGCCAGAATATTCTTAGGTGGAAACAGCAGGAAGAGTATTTCTGCTTCTCTAATCAGGTAATTTTAGATCAGGAAAATGAGATAGGAACAATCACTTGTCATTATTTTCATCTTCTCTGTGCCTCAGGAAACTGTAGAATGAATCATTTCCACTCCATTTGGACTACTGTACAGTGGTACAGAAAATATACCACCCTCAACGTATGCAACGGTGAGCTTCATTACTTATGTGCAATCTCAGCACTGAGAAAGTCCTAAGCCACTAGGTCCTAAGAAATCCTAGTAGTTGAGAAATAATAAACTGAAAGAAGAGGAGGCCCTCACACAGTTGTATGACTTCTGAAGCCAAGATTTTTATTCACAATCTATTACACTCCCAACAGGTCTGCAAATGTGGACAAATTGTCAATCTGTCCACCCAGACCGAAAGACATGCTCACCTTTGAAAGGCAATACGTGCTCAGAATCAGGTTTGCAGACAGATACTAACCCTGTTCCATGCAAAGAAAAGAAGTGGAGTTATCATTCAGAAGAGAATCCTGCCTCTTACAATTGACTGTTTTGAACCCAGTCTAGCTCCTCTTTCTGCTAAATTGTTTTTTTACTACTTTTGCTTTCTCTGCTGCTTCTTAAACAGGTGGGTGCTAGAGATGAAGCCTGTGTTGTTTTGTAAGAGATCTTATTCTATGACAGCTGCTTCAGTAAGCAGATAGTGAGTACACACTAAAATCTTGTGCTGCATCAGGCGACACACCAACACAGAGGCGCACACAGAGCTTAATCACTATGCACCTTTATATAGCAGCAGCCACCACCACCATATACCACCTTATTTTTGAACAGTCCAGTCAACATCTGAAATATTTCTGAATCATCTAATCAGTGCTAAACACTTGCACTAAACACACGTTGGTTCTTCACTAGGGCCTCCTGCAACACAAAACAACGTCACTCCAGCCAGCCCTGCTGGTGGCCTGACCTGTCTTTTGAGCAGCCAGGCCCTCCGGCTGCAGAGAGCTGACGATGATGAAAGAGGGATGACCGAAGAGCTCAGTGCTTCCGGCTGCTCCTCAGTTGCTTCTGGTTCTGTTCTACTTGAGGTTTCTCATGGTGGAGATGACTTAACTGTCCAAGAAACAGCTCTTTAACAGATTACACCTTCAACATGATACTGGACCACCTTCTGCTGCCTCAGCACGCAGAAGAGTGTCTGGGCTCTTCTAGACTAAGCTAAGCGTGCACTCCCTACCTACTGCTTCCACTCACAGCCCTCCCTGTGGGGCAACAGGGCCTCCTGCTCCTGTTCAGCTCTGCATCTCTAACAGATAGGCCTGTTCCTGATCGCTGTTCCTCAAACTGCAAATCCAGCACTGCAGTACATCATAAATAAATGGTTAAGTGACCTGAAGGAGTCTGAAGTTAGAGCAGTCATACTCTGGTTTCGTTGGGGAGGCAAAGACACCAAAAAACTTAGAACACAAGTTGAGTAAAATGGAACAAACAAAAGTGGAGAGCTACAAGCTGCACAAAGACAATACTGAGTAACAGCCTCCAGAACAATGTGCCAACCAACATCTACTATAGGAGGCATGATATAAAAAGCTGTTAGATGAATAGTACTTTATGTATCAATGAAAAAGAAAATCAGTATTTATACAAAACTGTTTGACTGAGAAGTTAAAACATAAGTAAAAAGCTCACACAAGATTTCCACTACTGTTGTCTAACCAAGCCAAAATGTAGCAGGACCAATTCTTCCTCTAACCTCCGGATATTCCTCTAGGTGTGCTGACAGGCCAGGAGTTTCAAGGCGGCAACACAGACAGGGAGAAGGTGCCATTTAGCAAAGCCTAAAGCCTAAAGACCTACCAGAAGCTTTGAAAGATGTAAAAATGTGTTTGTAAGGAAATTCTTTAAGTATATAGATACGTATATAAATATGCATTGGATGAAGGAAGAGATTTTCAATGTTATCTTTGGCCTGACCTTTCCTCATTAAAGCAAGCTGTAAAATACCTGTTGCTAGACATAAAGTCAGACCATTTCCAAGAACTTTTTAAAAAATCTCATGAAGAAGCTCAATTTTCATTTCTTTCATGTTGAACAGGGAATAAATTTTAACAGCTGTTGAGTATGAATTTAATTTACTTGATTTCTGCCAAACACCTGTTTACATAATTTAAGTGACCATCATGAAGATGATGCTCTATCCCAACCAGTGGAGTCAAAGGCCCTAAAACATCAAAGGCAAGCAAAAAGAGAAAGCAACTCAACAGCCTTCATGGGCTAACTTACACTAAAATAAACAAATACAGAAATAACATTTCCCTAGAAAATTTCATTTTAAAAGTTATGTAACAGTGAACTGCAATGTCAAGAATACACATTTTTCACATTATTGGAGCTCTTTTAGTTTAGCACAAAAAAATTCACATCCCCCAGGAACAATGCCCTGATATACTTGGACTTCAGCTTTGAGTGTCAAGTTAACCTCAGCAACCAACAAATCAAGAACAAACTCAGAAAAATCAAGATTTAAATCAAACACTCCAAATCATATAGATCCAACTCCACATTAATTCCTACACTGTGTACTATTCCTACACTGAACCATTTCTATCTTTCTCCATGTTAAATTCTTCTTGAGGCATTAGAACTATTACCAGTAAACTATTTTTAATAATTAAAATTGTATTAAAATGTACACAGGGTTGAAACGGGTATCATAAATCATTGAGAGCTAACCTTTGTTTCCTGTAGGCACCTGTAGCACATGAACTATTTCATGTTGCAGCTGCAACTCAGTAGTAATCAGTTTTTTTTTTTTTTTTTTTTAGTGGTTCATAAAAATATTCAGTGCATTTGTGATTCAATGTGAGATAAAAATAAATCTGTAAACAATGAGATTCTACCATATTGCAGATTAATTCTTAGAAAGTCACATGTATAAGGAAAAAATGCATGTGATGCTGCAAGTATCTAATTCAGAGGAACACAGATCAGACTATTTCAGTTTAGTATTACTTCTGTCCTTTTAGGAGTGTACAAGATCTCATCAGTGTCCATAGAGATCAAAGCAGAATAAAGACTACTATGGTTTTCCACTAGGTAAGAACAATACTTAGGAGAGAAGGTAGAAAGTAAAAGGAAGAAAAAGGAAATATAGTTAAAATGCAAAACGAACAAAAGAAGAGGATAAAAGCATCTTAACGCACAATTTTAAAACAAATTACAAAATACAGCCAACAGTACCATCTACTGGTCAAGATTAGGACCAAGAGTCTATAGCAATAAATACAATCAATACAGTTGTTATTTGCACTCTGGCAAAACCTTTGGGAGTAAAACTTACCCTGACCACACAGCAGTACAACTGGAGACTAGTTCAGATGAACCAGCAGAATTAACATTATCCAAAGCAGAGGTATGCTCCCTATGCAGATGAGTTACTTACTTAGACTTAACTTAAACTTACACAGCAATCCGTCACAGGACACATACCCAGGAATCCAGGAATGCAATCCAAAAACCATGCTCAGATCTCTGGCTAGCAAACAAATATCATCATTCTTGAATTTAATCACAAACTCTAATGATTTCAGAGGGACTGTTCATACTAGTTAAAGCCTATTTAGGCACCTTACAGCTACTTCTCTCATCAGAGCAAACAAAATCAGCTGCAGATACTGAATAGCCAACAACCTTCTGCTACATGCCAAATTATTTTTTAAAATATTATTTATGTTAAGTAAGTGTGAAAATGCGATAACTTGTTCATTCAACCACTCTGCTTTTCGTGTGTGTGATACAGTCTTTACACCAGATCAGATACTATTTTTTCCACAGAACCCCTGCCTCAGGCATGAGCTGGAGAGTATTCAGAAAATGAGGCAGCTGCTGGGTATTTTTATACCCTCTCTTCAACCAGTAAAGCCTGTCTTATAATTTACTCTATGCTATCCAATACTATTCCAAAGTTTATTTTCTGTTTATTTTCTTTATTTTAAAAAATAATAACAAAGCATATATCTGAAAAAGCTTTAGGCACTCTAACAATTTTTGTTACAAGGCAATGCAAAAAATTCCTAAAACAAAAACACTGCTGTCAGCCTTTTACAAAAGAAAATAAAAATGTCTTTTTCCATGTCTTAATCGTTCTGAAATCTCTCCTCTCAGTTTATTTCAAAGCACTCTGCAAGCATGCAAACTCCAAAGCTCTTCTGGTCACCAAACTTTGATTCTTTCACGTGTACACAAGGTTAAGAAAATGACTCCCTGCACCAAGTTATTCCCTTTCTTTAACTATGAGAAAGGATCCAGGAGGCACACTTCCACTCTGACAAGTGCAGCAAAAACAACTTAATTGGGATCCAAGGCTATTTAGGGCTGCCTGAATCATGATCAACAGAGATTAAATTTCACACCAAAATCAATGGGCAGCCCAGATCCCCTATCACTGGAATCATTCATGTCTGTCAGGATGCCCTCAACAAGACAGTCAGATACTTCAATCAATTTTCAACTGATTTTAAGATGCTTCAGTAAGATTGCAATAGGCTGATCCTGAAGTAATTTGCACGAAAAGGAAAGTTTTTTGTTGCTTGGATAGGCACAGTTAGGAAGAGGCTGAAAGGACTGTTACCAAATCACAACTTTCCAAAATAAGCAGAGAAAGGAAGAGTTGCTCATCACTCCTTCACTAAAATCTTAGGTATCATCAGCAAACGTTCCCTTGGTAAGAGGGACTGGTATTGACTCAACAAACCACTGTTTCAAGTCTGCTCTAGATTAAATTTTAAGTACTTTATCCTAGACAGCCTCCTGTCTCTTTCCATCTTCCCCTCCTCAGAGTGCTCAAGAACCATCTTAGTACCTGAGGACCCCTCAGTACATTTTCCTGCACCGCAAACCCAGTCTGCCTTGCTACTCCCATCTGATTGGAAGCAAGGACACATGCGTAAGGCGACAGGGAAATCAGCAGCAGTCGGAAGCGAAGGGCTCCCAGGGGCCAAGGCTATGGTCCTTGATCCAGAACCTCACCCACAGAGCATCTCTGGCTCTGAATCATTTCAGCCAAATTATTTCTAAGTACCAGACACTAATATCTCCAGGGGGAGCCCACACGAATGACAGATAAGAAGGAATGGCTACTTGCCAACATTCTGGTTTAAATGACTTGTTCAGCACCACACAGGAAGACTGTGGTAGAAGGCAGCGCAGAACTGAGCTTCTGTGGGATTTACCTGCACTAACCACAAAACGGTTCTATTTCTTCCTGAAAACCACTGCCCAGATCATGACAAGGTTTCCCCCACCCACAGTAAATCAGGCCATAGAGAACCACTATTTACCAAATAATCACACTTTAGTCCTATTTCTTCTGTGGCAAAATAGCAGGTGATCACATAATTAAAGACTGTATCATTTGCACACACAAGGACGCCCAATTAAAGACCAAAGGCAAACTTAATCCTGTCATTTCTTAACTTGACTTTGTAGTCTTAGCATTTTCTTCTGTTCTTCTTTTTACATAAAAAGCTAAAATCATACTTTATTACAATGCAAGGTTTTAACCAAAGATTTGTGGCAAGGAAGACTAGCGTGCAACATAAGAAAGTTGGTGTTCCCTGTTAAAAAACACTGAGCCAGTAGGTTAATCTGCTGGAGCTCACATACGGTCAGAAAATCTCTCTTGTGTCTTGCTTCCGTGCATCCCCGCTCCCCACCTTCCGGGGGGGGAATCAAGCTTCTCTCCTGATTAACGCCTTCCCGGGCACCAGGTAGCTATCTAATTGCTTCCTGGTAGAGAATGTTTCCTGAGGAAACTCTCCCTTGGGAGAGGAAAGGCTCCCCAAACTACACATGTAGCACCCGCCACTGCGTGACAATGCGCCGAGCCAGTTCTGTGTTCAGTGACCGCCTGAAACTCCACCAAGATTTCTACTCTGTGAGAAAAAATTGTTTTCAAAATGTTAATTAACTGTAGCTAACCTGAGTGGAATTCCAGGAGACCAGGGAAAAGATGCACTTTACTGTTTTGGGTTGCTGTAACATAGTGCTCTGAATCATGGCCACTTTCTTGATAACTTGAATGAAAATACTAAGCACTGCTCTACTTAACTAACCACTATTCTACAGTTCATGTTCTACTATTACATTTGCTTTTCTATTATATTAGCTGCCCCCTTTGAATTTAGAATCAAATTTAATTTTATCTTTTTCTCAGCTTAATTATAATTTGCAAAAAGGAAATGAAGAGCAAAATCCCGTCCATGCAGCATGTGACAGTTCACTTCCAGAACACAAGGACTAGAAAACAAGCTCATGCAGAAGTTTTCGTAGCCTTCTGTCACTATGGTAGGAACCGATCATAAATTAGCACAGCTTTTCCGATTTAATGAACACGTTTAAATCTTGAAGTGATTGTGTTTCTGCCTGAATTCAGCACATGCATTTCAAGAAAAAAAAAAGAAAAAAAAATTGAGTATTTCACGTTTATATTCACACCATGCAGAAGTATCTAGTAAGCACTGATGTATTTCAGATGAGTATTTATTACTTAGTCTACCACATAACAGCATTCTGTAATTTGTGAACTATTTTAAACTCTACTGGAATTCAAGCTTTCTGTTCTGTTTAAACATCTTGCAAGACCTCCTAATACACAATATTAACATTTTCTCTTTCAGTCCTGGGTGCACTATTCTGTCCAATTTCTAGTTCTTCTTATCCTCTGCATATTATGAAGTTCTAGTATTTTCCATAAATACTCCATATCTATCTGGCATACTATATGCCGAAAGCAGCACCCAAGAAATATGCCAGACTCTTCTCAGTTTTGCCCAGTGACAAGACAAGAGGCAAAGGAGAAAAATTGAAACAGAAAACTCCATTTGAAAAAAAAAAGAAGTTTTTCACTGCGAGGGTGGTTGAGGTCTGGAGCAGGTTGCCAAGAAAGTTGTGGAGTCTCCGTCCCCGGAGACACTGACTGAACACGGTCCTGGGCCCCTGCTCTAGTTGACCCTGCTCTGAGCAGGGGGAGTAGATCAGATGATCTCCAGAAGTCCCTTCCAACCTTGACAATTCTGTGATCTATTTATGTGACCAGTCTTTTACTGGTTCAGGATATTCCCTGAACCAGTAGGTTAATTCTGCATTGTTAGAAAATATTTTTCCTTTAATCAGTTTCAGAATGGCTCAATTTCAATTTCTTTGAGCATTCTTTTTAGTCATGTATTATTGCAAAAAGAACAGAAAGTTTCCTGGACTCTCTCTCTGTATCTTTCATTATTTTGTATCTGTTACCATCTCACCTCTGACTGCCTCCTTTCTAATGCCTGGACCAAAGAAAGATTCTGTGTTCAATACCATGTTTGTCTTTCACACAACAAAGCTTATTAAAATAAAAAAGAATTTTAAGAGTCTCAACTTATTAAAAGACAGAGAAGAAATGACTGGGGATGTGAAGTGTGGTGTCAGCCGTCACAGCAATAATCATGTAACAATGAAGTTTAAAATCCCGAGAGAAGTGAGCAGGACAAGTACCAGAACCATACGGAACTTCGGGAGAACAGACTGTGGCTTGTTCCGGATCCGTTTGGCAGTACCGCATAGGAGGCTGCCCCAAAGGGTATCGTGGGATCCGATTATCTCCAGTGCCTCATAGCACAAAAACAGTCCATGCCAAGGTGCAAAAAGTGAATGAAGGTCAGCATGGATGAACAGGTTGCTCAGGATATTTTTCCAAAAAAAGTATGTTTGTGATTCCATTCTGTAATTCTGTGATTTTGAAAAAGACACTTGCAACATATCTGAAGACAGATCTGAGTCTATCTTGAGTCATTTTTTTGATTCTCTACTTTAACCACATAAATCATTTTGGGCACCAATGTGTATAAAAGTTCCTTTAAAAACACATTCCTTTCTGAAGTGATTTTGTGAGATTTGATTTAAAAATTAAACTATAAGAAGACCTCATCAATGTTAGCATAAATGGAATTACGGAAAAATACTGACTTCGCCCAACAGGAAATAAGTGCAAAAAAGTCTCTAATATCAAAGCTGTGATTTTAGTTCAAACAGCTGAATAACTTCTGAAGACACTGTAAAAAAGTATTAAATAAATAAACATTTTAATACATGAATATACATTATTAACATGTAATATTGAAATAACACATAAAATATTTGAAAATAAAAAATGCTAGAATTTACTTCAGTGATGAGATAGCCAGTTTGAAAAACATCAGTATTATCCCAGTATTATTTCAATTTCTAAAATATGGCTACATCAGAAGCTCTAACATTACTCATATTTCAAGGTATTCACATGACAAATGTACAAAAAAATACATTTTTAGAAGAAAAAAGAAGAGAACTATGAATATAAGACCAGAAGTGTAAGTGACTGTGAAAGTTTTTTACTGAAAGCATTGTACTTTCAGGTTAATTATTTTTCACACTTAGCTTCTAAAACATCATGAATTTGGGGCCTTTGATTACTTCCGCCTTTACAATGAGGCAGGGCTAATTTACGCCTTCGCACAGGGATGACCGTTGTCTTTGCCAGTACCAGAAACTGAATCAAGAGACTCCAGAGCTGAAAGCTAACAGGCTACAATCTCTTAACTCTGAGCTGCGTGTTTTATTCATAAAAGCAGACAACTACACACCAACTTGAGAAAGAAAAAACTTTAAATGCAAAAAGAATGTATTTTGCTTATTAAAAAAATTACTTATCTTACCTTTAGATCACTTCCTGGCAAAGTACCTATCCCATCTTTCCAGTCCATAGCACTAAACACATCAAACTCTTGTCCATTTCCACTAGAGGCAGATTCATTCATGATGCATGTACTAAAAATGATAAAAAAATAAAAAGGCTTTATCTGAAAATAAAAGTGATTTAGACTAGTATCAAATTGACATTGACTGACAATATACACGACTAATCAAAATGCTGATATTAGAAAGTAATGTAATAAAAACAAAAGCAAATCTTTTGAACAACTTAGAAAATAGCACCTAATTTATATACTACCCATTAATGAGGCTAAATTGGAGAGAAATAAAAAAAACAAAGTGCAAATAGATTGACAATGGGCAAACACATCCTAGACACATGTAACAAAACCATATGTTCTGAGGAATGCCAGATGAATACATAAGGAGTAAGGACCTTAAAAACTGATTCAAATAACAGGTTTTCCTTAATATCTGATAACATGCTTCATTCCAATCAAAATTAAAATTTCAAACTGTGTTTGAAAGCCTTGCTTTGTCACTGATACAGGACACACAAATATTCCTTTTCTGTCACCACGTAATTTCACCAAATATTTGCTACTTCTTTGTAAAACGTTTTTACATGTAGGCAAGCATATACACTCAAGAGAAACAGCTGTTTTGGAAGACTTGACTTTACTGGTCCTTCTGTTTTACTGCAATGAAAGCAGAGGAGAAAATATTTGTTAACCATTAAAAAGAGCAGATTTGGACACCCTTCTCTGATACAAGAATTCATCTCCAATCATTTGCACAAGCAATAAAAATACACAACATTTGCCACTGCTTACTGGCTGTGACCCAAATCCCGTCACCATCACAAAGACGACATCAGTTGTGCTGAACTGTTTTTAGCAGCCATTTATGATTATCACCAAGTTATTCCTTCCTACTTTTTACAAATCCAGTAATCTAAGTTTTTGGCTGGCACCTAATTTAATATTGAAGACTGACTCCATAATTTTCCCTGTTAAGGACTGCAGCACTATGCCTAATAGTTGAAACCATCTGTAGCAAAATAACATTGACTCCAGTTTGTGATCTATCACCAAAAGTCCATTTCTTTTCAAATTTACACTCTCTTTGAACTTTCCTAACAAATACTTTCCAAGTCTCCTGCTCAGCCTGCACATTGTTTGCAAACTTTGGCTGCAAATATCAGTATTTCAAATTCCAACAGGCAGGTAGGTTCCCCAGTTGGACCATTTTCTTTTTGATCTCTAAAAATTCCACTTGCAAAATGAAAAAAAAATCTTTTTTTTCTATTTTTTCATTAGAAAAAATACACCCATCATTTGCACATCTCCATTACAGAGAGCCATTAGTCTGATTCAGTGTTTGCGATACACACACACACAACACACACTTTTTATTTCCTCATTTGCAGATTTCCGAGGTCCTCCCTACCCCATGCAACACCCTTCGTACTTTCGTTACCTGCAGCCCCTACACAGTCACCACCATGACAGAAGCAGAACGTCGCTCAGTAACCACAACTGATGGCAAAGGCTGCTGCATTGCTCTTCACCTCCTGTGACAGGTGAGATTTGGAGATCGGAGAAAGAGCTGTCTGCCTATAGAAGGTTTTTGGGCAAAACTTTATATACTTCACAAAACAAACCTGAAGTACGAAGAACAAAGCTGAACATCTTTGCTATCTCTGATTTTAGTATTTTTCCATGCAAATGTATTGAAAACCCTACCATGAATGCACAAAAATTCACTTGCAATATACCGATAAATCTAAGCCAATTCAGTGCAAGCTGAGGCATTTCCAAACCCATAAACCTTGCCTTTTAAAATCTCTCCCAGGCAAAATCTATCACTGTACCTTGTAGCACCTCTTGAAATTCAGCCTGAACAATCTCTATTCGACTCAAGAACGTAGCAGACTGGAGCTCTAGATGGTCCTAGGAATCCAGTGTTCAACACCACAATATCCCAACACAGGTACGCTTACACTGAACTAAAAAGCAACATCACGGCAGAGATGTAGGCATCCTCTTGGAAACACCAGACCTGCCTAAACTGCTAAAGACTAGCTGAAAAATTTGATTTATCCAGAAATCCATGAAATTTTAAGGACATAAAAGATGCTGTTTAAGCACACTGGTGTAACATGCTCCCCACTATTAGTCTGGCTAAGCAAACACAGGGCGGCATTCTATACTAACCAACATTTCTAAGTAATCTTAAATTATCAACCCAGTTAGGGAACACTGCCCTCAACCATTCTGTGATTTATTTATTAGAAAGAAAAAAAAAAATCTAATGGATTCTGCAGAAAGAATGACAAAAAGATGGAAGTGACTTTGAAGGCTGTGGGGAAATGCTCCCTTGTCGTGGCCACTGTGTCACGGAGTGAGAAGCATCAGAGATCCCCTACTCTGGAGTTTCTGATAGTGCTTCTCTCATACAAACATTTTGTAACAGAATCATTTGCAAAAAAAAAAAAAAATCAATTGGTGGGGGAAGTTTACAGCCAAGACTATTTATGCAAGATGTAAACTGCGAAAGTCAAAATAAAATACTGATAACAGTACAGTGCACATTTCTCTCAAGAAAATGGTACAAATTTTAACTTAACGGCACCCAACAAAGCTTTCACTGGGTACTAACGAGTAGCAATGGTGTATTCTCTTGTTTGATAAGGTATTCTTTTTTTTTCCTTCCAAAACTAATTCTACACTGGAAGTACAATTTGTACTTTCACCTACTGGTCCCCTTCCAAAGGCTTCCCAACTGCTCTGTGTGGGGCTGAAAAGGTAACGTGCAATACAGGTTGAAATGGATTTACCCAAAGTAGCTACATTTAACAAAAGTCTCTGTTTCCAGCTTTGCTGAGTTTGAATATATGAAAGATCGGGGCTCATAGGTCTAAATCCCGCTGCTAATGACAGTGAGGAGGAAGAAATAGACCAATTAAATCATTATAGCAATGAGGAATTAAAAAAGGAGAAAATCATTACACTATCTACATCTAAATCACAGAACAAAGAAAACTACTGTATGTTTTATCTACCCATTTTCATCTTTAAAGCCACGTTGTGGCTCTCTGAACTGGTATAACTCCTTTTATAATAAGGCCTTTTGCTATCATATACAGTTCTAGACATGTAGTGAAAATAATAAATGAACTTGGGGCCAAACAACTACAGCACTATGTTTATGCCTATCACTAAATGCCATCCGAGGTGAAGGTAAGGACACAAAATAAGAACGTGGAGCATCTGTATTCCAAAAGCCTTATCCAAAATCCACTATTAGGAAAATGACTGTATCACAGTCTTCATACTCCTAAGCTGTAATATACACATAGGGGTGTTTTAAAGCTGTGCGCTGCATTTTCATATTTCAACATTAACTGTGTTTTAGATGTATTTAATAAACGCATCAAAACACACATAAAATTAGACATATCCTTTAAAAAACATTCACTTTTAACAACTGGATCAACAATAAACAGAATCATCCCTCACAGAACTGATGCTTAATGAGAATAACAGCATTAAAAATTACATAGCATCATTTAGTGAAGGATTGATTCTCTATTAAAAGATTTAAAGCTAAGAAATAGCAGAGAATATGCCAATTAAACGTGCAAGTATTTTTTGAAATAATTACAGGGTTATGTAGTGAGTATGTCAAAAGGTAATAATAGAAGGATATTTTTTTTCTTTCAGTCAGTTCTTTAAAAAAAATTACCTGACACCTACCCAAGTTTTGAAAATCTAAGTTGCCATGTGTGAAATGCACACGGTAGTAGTACAAACCATTTCTTCTCACTCGAGTGGGCCCAATCCAATACGTGGTCACTCAGGAGCAAAGGGAGAAGATTTCAGACATAAAGCTATTAGGCAGCACTACCAGAGGAGCAGAATAAGCTCATCTGTGAATATGCAAGTGTATCTTTTTTGCACTCTTGCATGCCTTTGTTTTACTCTTTGGGATTTCTAAAGCTACCAGGACAGGAGTGCCCAGAACGTTCATTCCAGGAGAGCACAGGCCTGCGCCTGCTCCCCAGCTACCAAACTCTTGCTAGCAAAGAGAAAAATGGGACAGAGAGAGCCAGAAACAGTCTACACGGACAGGGTGGTGTGTGAGATCCGAGGGACAAACACTGGCAGCGATGTTCTCCAAGACCCCAGCCACGTTCCCTGTTCTTCCCAGACACGTGTGGAGCTGGGAGATGCCGGCGCTGTCAGAGGAACAGCAAGAGGCCCCAGGTAAGCGTTCTGTCCTAATACTGCAGCTAACTGCTTTGGTTCGGTCCAAGGGAGAGCCTGCTTAGTGCAGTATTTGCAGTGACAGCCAGTGGGATGGTTCTGACACTCACAGAATTCACTTCTGTGGATCAGGTGGGGGCAATTCAGTCTCAGAGCCGCGAAGGCAGCACTGGACCTCCAACTAGTAAAGGCCAAGCACTCAGCAGATACAGCTGAAAAGGTAACGGGCAGATACTCAGCTTCATCTTGATTCTCTTTATCATAGAAGAGAGTAAAAACTATCATGGCTGAATCATTAAACCTCCCTAAACCACACAAAAGAAAATTATCTTTCACAACTTAAGCTCCCTTTCCTATTTTAGACAGACTGTGTATTAGGTTATCTTCATAATGACACTGAAGGCAGATCAAAACTTAAACCAATTGTTGTGCAGAATTGCAGCAGGAGGAAAACAACTTGCCATTTTTCTATTCTGTGCATTTGAGAGGTTTTTGAGCAATGGAAAATTCACTCTTTGCCTGTTACTCATGAAGTTTATTACAAAGAAGTTAATAATAAAGATGAGATATATAGGTTGGCAGTGTAGTCCCAGAGGAGCCAAACTTAAAATTCTTTGCCATTCTTAACACTTGCGCAGTAAATAAAGCAGACTTCCTGTTGATGCCATGCCTTTACACTATTTCTTCTCACTGCAGCCATTGCTACCCTTGTCTCTGCTGGATTCTCCTACCACGTATGCCTGCTCCTGCTCTACACGAGAGCAGCTCACCAGCCTTCTCCTCACAGAGTGAGCCTGGCCGCGTGCGCACGCTCCCAAATGCCTCTGCTAACAGCAACGCGCAGCCGTGCTGCAGGAGTGACGTTTCCCCTGAACCTGGTCTCAGCCGCACAGCCAACACTGGTACTGCTGCAGCACTGCTGGCAACGCGGTGACAAAGCTACCCGTGGCCTTCACCTCCTATGTCATTTTCTAATATCCATAGAATGCTCTCACAACAGTATTTACCTCATGTCAAAGCCAACCAAAGTTTATCACTGGCAACTTTTATGTTGTTATAAAGAACTTGTGTCTCACTTACAAAAAAAACATTTCCTCTGAAACACTTTAGAGGCTTGAGTATCTGTTATTGCCATGTACATAAATGAACACAAACCTGAGTGCAGGTTTAAGTTAATCAGACAGTGAGACCTGAGTAGAACAGTGAGACCTGAAATCCCATGTTGTAGTTTCTCTTAATGCTCTGAGCCACAGGAAGCTGCAGAGAACTCCCTTTTTCTTTTTTCATTTGTGCCCCAAGCTCTCCCCTGAGCAGACACCTCTCTGAGGAGAGCTGTGCTGCATCAATTCTTCACACTGATTTTCACCTCACCTATCTGGAGTCGTCATTTTCAAGGAGAAGTTAGCTCTTCAGTTAACTCATTGCGCACCTAAATAGTGCTTTCAATTCACCGTACCCTCCTCTTCTGCCTGGTCTCACCAACTTCCATGCGCTCTCCTGCCTTCAAATCATTAATTCAAGTTCCTATGGCTAGGTATTCCCAGCAGGTTACGGTATTTCGAGACTTTTCCCTCTTTCCACCTCATTGAGCTCACATTTCCATCGTGATGAGCCATCTCATTCTTCCAGACAGGGCTTCACACACTGTCACTCATCCTCAGCCAACTCCACACGACACCATCACTGGTTCCTCGCACCCACCACTTAAATCCCATCATCCTGCTTATGAGCAGTATTGGGAAAGATGAAGCGCAAATGCAACGGACTGAAGGTCAGGAGCCCCTCTGCTCTCTCTCACACACAGGGGATTGCTCAGTAACACTGAGCGAGTCGCAGGACAAGGTTCAACACATAATCAGAAGTCACAAGAACTCCTAAGAGCAGCACTCAAGATCAATCTACTAAACAGAAACAATATGAAAAATATTACGAGAAATCGAACTGAAGCAGAATTAACAATCACCCAACTGGCAGCCAAAATCACCGAGTAAGACAATTGTTCCTACTGCTTATCTGCCAGCTGCCTTCATCAGAACACGAGGCAGCGCGCAGCCGGCGCTGCTGACGTCACGCTACGGAAAACCCATTACCTGGCACCGGCAGGATCCCGGCAGAGTGCTTTACTGCCTCCAACCACTAGTTCAGGAGGCTTCTCTTACAGATGTTAATCATATAAGCTGCTGGGAATGAGATAATTCCCTCGGTGAAAAGAATCACTTTCTAAACAGCTTTTAAAATCTGCTCTAAGAAAATTCGGCAATGATTTTGAGCACGAACAGCCTCCTGGAGCAACAGAAACTGAAATTTTCGCACCGTAAGTTTTTATAATGTGTGCTGACTGCCTTGTTTTAAGCGCTCCCATTCCCAGCGTAGAAACCAAAATCAGGAGCGATCAGCCTAACTCTCCAAGGGAGATACAGAAAATAAACGTTAAGTCTAAGATATAACTCGGGTGGTAGTTAATAATATGGCTCACGCACAATATACCGTTAAGCACCATTAAAAAAAAAAAAAAAGGAAAAAGAAGGGGGGAAAGGAGGAAAAAATGTAAAGTTGTGGTAAATACAAGCGCAGGAGGCAGCGAGTGCATCCTGAGGGGCCTGGCTTCCAGGAAGTGGGAAGTGTTGCCTCAGGATCGCGCGCGCCGCTCCCAAGGCGGCCGAGGAGCAACGGTCCCCGCAGCAGGGGGAAGGAGGGCGCTGCGGGCCGCGCTCCCCCGTCGCGGCGCGGTCCCGGTGCCGACGCGGAGCGGTGCCGGTGCCG